GGGCCAGATAAAATGGCTTGGCAGACCGCATGGCGGCCCGTGGGCTGTATGTTGGACAAGCCTGGTTTAGGGTCTCATTTGATCATCAGAGATCAGAGAGCATCGGAGATGAATATGGTCAGATAACATTAGTATTCAATGAGGCTATCTCACTAGGAACTTGGACAGACCGCATATCCAGGCTGTTATATCTGATCAAGTGATTCTTAGTATGACTATAATCATAAGACACTACCAATTCAACTGTAGGACCTGGCAAGTGTTGTCTGACTTGTTTTTTAAGAGATTACTCTTAGTTTTTGTGAATGGATCATAGCGGTAGTGTTGAGGAGGAAGAGTTGTGGCTCAGGGGCTCTTGCGTTTCCAGTCGTTGTTGGCAATCCCTTGATTCAAGGATGATCTCTACCACAGTTCAGTGTTGGGTCTTGAAGTGACTTAAGAGTCCAATCTTTGAGCCACAGATCTGTCCACAGAAGTTGCAGATCTTACTGCAGGGGAGGGTAGGCTGTAGTCCAGGATTTCTCTCCTTATTCCTTTCTCTACTCTCTTCTCTGCTTTGAAGGCAAGATGCTTTACCTCAAAACAGGCAGCCACTTGGTTGAGGTTGCAGCGCAATTGGAGGTGGTCAACAGCCAGCTTCTCCCACATCTTGATGTCAGCATCCATTTTGTTGAGGTATGCCTTCAGTGTGTCCTCATAGCATTTCCTTTGGCCACTGCAATATCTCAGACCATTACAAACCTTGGAGTAAAGCACTTGTTTTGGGAGCTGAGAGTCAACCAAATACACACAATGTCTGGTCCAGCAAAGTTGGTGCTTGAGGATCACTGACTCAGTGCTGGTAACACTGGCTTCAGCAAGGATGCTGGCATTCATGTAGTGATCTTCCCATTTGAGGTGGAAGACTTTCTGGAGGCTTTGTTGGTGATGCATCTACATGCTCTTGAGACTTTTCTTGGACCTGGCAAGTGACAAAGATCATGTCAGTTGCCCCATGGGGTGGTCTGAAACCACACTGAGATTCTTGCAGGACTTCCTCAGCAAGAGGGAGATGATGATTCAGGAGAATGCAGGTGAGGATTTTCCCTGCTGTGGAAAGGAGGGCAATATCACAATAGTTCCCACACAGACTTATCTCCTTTCTTGAAGATAGTCACTATATTGGCATTCCTCAGGTCCCCAGGAATCTCTCCTTTGTTCCAAATTCAAATAATAAATTCATGAAGTCTCAGTACCAGTTCCTCACTGCCAGCCTTATAGATTTCAGCAGTTTTGCAATCAGGTCCAATAGCCTTGTTCTTGGTTTTGTTGATGGCATGCCAGACTCCTAGGATTGGAGGGTTGGCAAGGGATCCCCTTTCAGAGTGTGAGGGGATTGATTTGATGGTGGCATCCACCTCAGTCGAAACATGGTTTAGGAGTGCTTCAAAGTTCTCTTTCCATCTATCTTGGATAGATTCACTGTCTTTGAGGAGTGTTGAGCCCATCCTACGATCTCAGGAAAGTAGGACCTTGGGAAATTGGGTTGTAGATGGCTTTCATTGCCTGGAAAAAACTATGTATGTCATGTTTGTCAGCATAGAGCTTGATCTCCTTGGTTTTATCTTGCCACCGATTTTTGATTTCCCAGGTCCTCCTTGACCTTCAGCTTTGAGGAGGAACTGATATGTCTCCTTCTTCTGTGGAGGTGAGGTATCTCTCCAAGCATAATGAGCCCTTCTCTTCCAGTCGAGGAGGACTTGGATCTCAGTGTCATTCTCATTGAACCAGTCTTGGTGTTGATAGCCAGTAGATTCAACATAGCCCATATGAACAGCAGTTTTATACCCCTTCCAGAGTTCCTCAGTGTTGCTTTTATTGGTGAACAGGGGAGAGAGCTTTTTATGGAGAGGCTGCTGGAGATTCCTATAGACCTTCAGGTTTTGAAGAGAATTGGTGTTGAGAGACCCTTCTCTGTTAAACATTTCTGCAATTATGGAGGAGGTTTTGAGGCTCTGTGGGCTATTCTAACTGCTCACAACTAATTTCTGTATTTTGATGGACCTTGGTACAGTTGTTGCCTGGATCTCCCACTAGACGTAAGTGATTAGATATCAGTCAGAAAAAACCCCTGGTCATACTGGGTGGTGGAAAGAAAAGTATTTGCCTGTTGGTTTTTTGTCTTCCCTCCACTGATGGAAGTTGTATGGGTATAACAAAGTAGCTCACAGTACTTGTATCTCCTTCTGATTCCTAGGTAGCAGTGATGACCAGAAATACCTCGTTTGTCTTTACTGCTTTGTCACATACATACCTCCCCATGCTTAACTAGGTTTTCATCACCCATTGGGCGGATAACAGGCACGTAGGACTGATTGAAGGTTCTGGGTCATCTTCCAGCTAGTACAGAACAAGCCAGCTGCCCATTTTGTTTGTGAGATGGTGATTGAGAGTATATTAGGCCCTTGCTTCCTTTTTTACAGTGCCAGTGAGGACATTTCTGGGTGAAACTAAAGTCTTTCCCCCCTTTTGTTTCATCCTTAAATAGGCTCATAACCTGCCTAATCCTCAGCTAAATGCAGTATTTAGATGAAGCATGCTCTATTCCCTGACTTGGAGGAAACTTTTGTAGCTCCAGAGGTCCAACATTTTTCCTCTGAGTCTTTCCATACAAGGGTATTGGAGGGGATTTGTGCCAATTCATCTTCTCATTATAGATTCATAGGTGTTAGGGTTGGAAGGGACCTCAGTAGGTCGTTGAGTCCGACCCCCTGCCCTGGGCAGGAAAGAGCACTGGGGTCAGACAACCCCAGCTAGGTGCTTGTCCAGTCTCCTCTGTAACAAGCTTATCCCTGCTGATGCAGGTACCAAGGAGGTAAGGTGGCTTGGTCTGTCTATCCCTGCTTATATCTCATTAGGGCTAGGTACAGACAGTCAAAAAGCCTGAGGCTGTCTTTGCAGGTTAGTTTAAGCTGCATAGATTAAATTGAAACAGAAGGGGACAGATTTTTACCATTGATTCAGGAAAGGCAGCCACATGCCTGCAATGGCTCAGGCCAGAAACAGGGGGGTGGGGGGCAGGCACTAGAGCACGGCTCTCTGGCTGTGTGTTCTTTCTCTTCTGCTGCCCCCAAGGTCTCTGGGGTTTGCAGTCCAGAATTACAGCAGCAGGACTTCGCAGGGTTGTTCATCACATCCTCTTCCTGCTTCCAGGTGCCTCTGGGATTTGTAGTCCACAGTTACAGCCACCAATAACTTTGAGCAGGGGAAGAGGTGTTTAATCCCCCTCCCCTGGCCCCTGGCTTTGACTGGGGGGCAACCCCCCCCCCCAATGACTGGGCTGCATCCCCAGCTAGGCTTGCCCCCCTACCCCTTTGTCAGCCAACCCTTACTGCTCCAGTTAGGGAGCAGAGGGGTGGAGCCAACCTTGCTCTCTGGATCAGATAGTCCAGCCCAGCCCAGGGCTGCAAAGCATGCTGGGATGCTGGGGGACACTGATTTAACTTGCACCAGGAAGGGGTCTGGGACAGAAGTTTCATAAACCAGTTTGACCCAAATCAGTTAAGTCTGATACTACATACAATCAGGTTTATCTTAAACCAGTTTCAGCCATTTTGAAACTGGTTTATGTTCACTGAGCTTCTGTTCGGTTACAGGTTTAAACCAGTTGTGTGACTTCTGTCCCTAGCATAGGTCAGCGGTTCTCAACCTTTTGCACCTTGCATCCCACCTACGTAAGGTCAAAAAATCCTGGTCCCACCAGTCGGTGGGGGGAGGAGAGGGGTACACCAGGATTTTTTGACCTTACATAGGTGGGACGTAAGGTGCGGAAGGTTATATTAAGGGGCAAACTGCTTATATTAAAAATTACTAGACCTTTTTATAAAGGAAAGACATCCTTTCTCCCATGTTCCTCTGGATCTCTACAGTCAGCAGAGATGCCTCAGGTGTTTGTTTCCCAAGGTGTAGCTTGCTTGCGCAGATGGAAGGAAGGCTCTGAATGGATGTTCATCTGAGATGCATCTTAGCTGCCTGTAGAAAATGATGTAAGCCCTTCTCTGAAGGCAAACTGGAATGTCCTGACATATAGCCTTCTCCTTGTTTATCTTTTAATATTGCAGCTTCAAAGTAGTTAGTGTCTAAACCTGTGCATCCTGTATTTTGGGGGAAATGTTTGTTCTTAATCTAAATCGTATTAAATGTGCCATGTGCTAGTGATGGACTCCCTAGAGGGACAGGGCATGACTTGTTTGTCATGTATTGTGTTCTGATAACAAATGTTTCACTGATATAGGCAGATTTTGAGCAGAAGGGGATTGAATACTTCAGCTGCGTTCACACGATCATCTTGAATTTGAATCAAGGGGACTACAGGCCTGTAAGTGAGGAGCCGTTACATAGGAGCTTTATGCTTTGTTCATTTACTGTAAAAATTATGTTGATAAAAGCTATAGCAGTTACAAATAATAGTCCTAAGCAATTTTCTTAAAGATTAAGCAAGTGGAAATAGTCCTTTTCACTGATTTTCATGGACTAGAAAATAGCCGTGAAAGTTTAGCTGTGAAATTCTCAGCAATTTTTTCTGTTGAGAACTCCCATGCTGCTGCTGTCTAGTAATAATAATGATGGAGCTGATTTGCTTTACAGAGACTGTTTACACTGCTGATGCACAGCCAAAGGCAACTAGCACAATTCCCTCTTCAAAGAAAAAATAGTCAATTGGATTTGTCCCATGAAAATTAACCCATAAAAATATGGTGCTATTGTTAAATGTGAATGAATGTGTGCTGATAGTGATTATAATGGATCTATGTGTAAATTTACTCTGTCAGTACAGTGAAATGTGGATGAGAAAAACACTGTTCAGGCTGTCAGTTCTTTGGGTAAGGGATTATTGTTTGGTTTATAACTATGACTGTCTTTTAATCTATTATCCCAATCTATGACTGGGGCTGTCAGGAATGATCATAATATAAATTAATAATAATACTCATTCTGTAATCATAAAAGGGGCATTTTACAGAAGTGCATTTAAGGAGTGGGATGAGAGTAATCTGAGGTGCTCTTAACACCCTCTGAATGAGTTCAGCTTCCTGCTCTGAAAAGAGAATGTGCTGATTTGTCCTGGCTTTATTTATAAAACATCACCCTGTACGACTCGTCAGATTTTTCTTTATTGATTTCAGCAGAGTTGTTTTGTGCCTCTGAGCTCCTCAAAAAAGGAATTGTCCTTGACTGCTGAGGCATTGGGGAAGGAGAAGTAGGCAGGTGGATCATTGAGTTTTTGACAAGTGCCAAACCAGCACTATATCTGTGATACATACGTGACATTTTCCTCATCTGGACTGAGCACCTGGACTCTTACCCAAAACCTTGTTTAAGACTCTCCCAGTCATGCTGTTGGCCGCATAAAAGATATCACCCACACAAATTTTTGCCTCGCATATTTCCTGGACCATCACAGCTACAACCTGACTTCAACACCACTTTTAAATACTGTTCTGTGATGGTCTACTTAATCATATGGGAACTCTAGATTTTTCTGCCCACTTCTCATTCACTTGAGAGGACTGAGGGAATGAAAATGTTTTGGTCACTTCCTTCTGTATAGGCAAAATTTTAGTTCAAAGCAAAACATGGATAGGGCTTGAATTCCCTGCTTGTATAGCATAGCTGGATGGCTAAGCTCAAAGTGTCTGCCTCTTGTTACCCTAATGGGAATTTTAACTTGCATTAATGAGTGTGTTGCTAACATTAAAAAATACCTCTTTTTAACACGTATTTTAAATGGATGAAAATTTAAATTGTGAGGACTGCTAATTTTAAGAGTAATCCTCACAAGAGTAGATGGTGGCCACGTCTACATGAGAGACTGACTGCGCAGTTATTTAGTACTTGTATAAACAAGTACTAAATGACCAAGGAATGGCTTCTTCATGACGCTGACTGTGCAGTAGCTCATGACTTGCACAGTGGTGTCACATCACACTCTCTGCCACATGGGCTACTGCGCAGTCAGTGCCTCGTGTAGATGCAGCCGCCCTTGTTGAAATAAATCCTAAGCAAGTGTGTGATGCTACTAATACTTTAGAGTTGGGTCCAAATTAAAGGTGGATTTTTTTTTGGTTTCTGTATATTTGGATCACAAACTGTTATACCCCTGTCTTGTGAACTGGAATAGCAGGTGTGTTGCTTTCTTTTGCAGGTGCAGTCATCCTCTCTATTGTTAGTGTTACTTTCATGAAAGCTGAATTAATATACATTTCTCAGAAGGCAGAAACTCAGGGAAAGCCACAATAATGAACCCCAGAATTTAGCAACAATCCCAGAGTACCATCCTATTTGTCTCTTTGTGTTTGCATTTTGCAGGTTTGAATTGATCATGGACAGTGAAGAAATCCCAACTTTTTCAAGTCCAAAGGAGGAAACTGCTTACTGGAAAGAGCTTTCCTTTAAGTACAAACAAAGGTATTGTTTTGCTTTAACAACAATTCTTACTGCTGGGTTACATGAACAGAACACAGCTGAGACTCTCTCCAAGGGATATACTTTGATTCCTCGGATATCAACATGAATTTCTGCATTTTCAACTTTGAAATGGGTAGATCAGTGAATGAAAATCCAGCTGCTCGGACCTGACTATCTCATGCCTGGCATTACCACCCTGTGAACCCTAAGCTGTTGTTTGTAGCCTGTTTCAGTAGGAACTTCTGGTTTTTTTTTTTTATCATCTCTGTATTGTCTAAGTGTTGCCTCAGATAACAATAGGACATTTTATCATTGGAATGCTGCCACTCTCCTATGCTTTTATTTTACCAATTTTTTTGCTCCTTGAAGTAGTTACTGGTATGAAGCTTAACTTTGGAGCCTCCCTTTCTCTCCTTTAAGAATTCTAGGGGTTTTTTTTTTATTAGACTCCAGCTTGCCTGAATTCTTTTGGAGACTCCTACTGATCCAATTCTATGGATTTCTTTTAATGACTATTGAAGCTAATAGAAATTCTGAGGAATTCTGTTTGCTTTTCAATGGATCATTTTCCTCCTGTTCTGTGTTTCTCTTGTATATGCTGGGGATACAGCAAGCAAAACTTTCTCCAGTCATGAGAGGCACATCAGAGTCTAGAAGACATTTTGCTGTCTATGTACAGAACCAGCATATTTCAGAGGGAGAATCTGAAAGGACCTGACATCTCCTGAGCCATTCTTTGGTGTCAGAAAATTGGCACCTTATGGAGTCAGTGAAAGCTTTGCTTTCTATACCTTTCGTACTTTTATTTCCTGTGTAGTTTTTACTGCTTGCTAAGAGCTGAGCTCTTAAATTCAGGGCAGATGCGGACTTAGTACACAGAGTATGTTGAGTGGCTACTTTTAGCAATTTAATACCCTGCAGTGGTATAAGGTAAGTATGTGCTGGCTTCCTGCCTAAGTGCTTAATAATCTCAGTGTTTCAGAGAAAAAAATTGAGGTTTGACTGTAAATTTGAAATGTTCCAGTGAGGTAGATGTATACTCATGTACTGCTAAACTGCTTGTAGGGTCTGTTTTTCAGTGAACATCAGATTAAATTCAACTTTGTACTTACTCAGTGACTAATGGCAGGACTGTGAAACTGTTTAATAAATACTAGCTGTGAGATGTATTGAGGAATACAGGGAGTGTTGGACTCTAAGGTAGTGGTTCTCAGCCTTTTTAGATTCAAGATACCCCTCAGAAAATGCTAGTTTTTACTTTTCACTCATGTTTTGACTACAGAAAAATAAGAGCAAAACTCCTGTTGCAAAGAACTCAAAAAAGACCACGGTGGGCTAGAACGTTTTAAACACTATGGATTTCTGTTTGAAATCTCTGGGTTTATCTTGTGAAGGATCTCAAGGCATCCCAGGATGCCATGATACTCTGATTGGGAATCACTGCTCTAAGGCACCCTTTTAATAAACTTAGTTCATGGAATTGGATTTAATACAGTTGCTTGTTTAATGCATAATAATGATGTTTCAATTGCCAAGCTTAAAATAACTCCTATCTTTCAAAATTTTTCTTCCTTTTTAAATGGTCACTGTTTAAATGAGTCTGGCCACATGAAGAAATGTTTGTTTGGGCCTGTTATCTCTAGAGAATAACAAATAGTTTTGTTCTTCCTTGATGAATTAGATCCATGACTGATATAAATCCTCTCCTTACAGTTTCCAGGAGGCACGGGAAGAGCTGGCTGAATTCCAGGAGGGAAGCAGAGAATTGGAAGCAGAATTGGAGGCCCAGCTAGTGCAGGCTGAACAGAGGAATAGAGACTTGCAGGCAGATAACCAAAGACTGAAATACGAAGTAGAAACATTAAAGGTATGGAATTACTTGTTCTTGTGGACATGCTTTAGATGCTCATATATAGCCCTGTGTTAGATTGTCTTGTCTGCACAAGTATTGGTAATTTTTTCCACATCTGGAGAGTAGATAGAGTAATCAATTTGAAATCCAGTCTTAAATATAGCATTTATTTTCATTCAAGGCCAGGTACTTACCAGCTACTTGTTAGGTTGAGGAAATTCCTGGAGGAATTTGCTCTGTTTCTTGGTCAGTTCGTAAGAGGTAGAGTATTCAGGATTCCTTGATTCTGAGTTTGGTGTTTAGTTTCTCTTGCATAAGGATTCTCTGAGACCTGCAACGGCTGGCTTTGTAAGGCCTTTTTAAAATCAGGGTAAAAAAAAACGTGCGGGTAAAAACAAACCCCTGAACTAGAGTAACATTATCCTATTCAGTGAAGAATGAAAGAATCAGGGTAAAACTTAACCAGTGTACATTGCACAGTATAGGTTTCATCTGTCCACAGCCATGTTGGGTAGTGGTTGCTAAAACAGATTGTTGGCCTGATCCTGACCACCTGGTGGCCTGGCTTCTTGTGTGAGGTACTGTGGGACAGTTGCGCATCTGTCCATTTCTGATCCTAGTGCAGTTTACATCAGTTTTTGAAAACGGTATACAGGTTTCCCTTGATTTATGCGGGTTCTATATATGCAAATTTCCTATTATGCTATGGCCCTTTTTATACCCCAAATTCATTATATGCAAGGGAAATTCGCTCTTATGCGATTGGCTCCGGGGCTCCTCTTGCATGCTCACCCCAGCCCCTGGGCTGCGCCGTGCCATGGTGCAGGCAGGTGGTGTCGGCTGCTCCCAGGGCCATTGCAGCGGGGGCTGGGGTGAGTGGGGAGAAGCAGAGGCCCGGGGTGCAGCGAGGTAAGTCTATAGCGGAAGGGGCAGGGGGAGGGGGAGGGGTGCAGCGCAGCCCATCGGCTGCTCCCAGGGCAGCAGCAGGGAGTGAAGCAGAGGAAACTGTGAGTAAGTGTGGGGCATGGGATGGGGGGGAGCATGGCTCTTGCTGCTGTGCACATCCTGGGAGGGCTGTGGGCTGCACTGGGATCTTCCTGGGGATGCATGCCCCTGGATCTGCATGC